CTCTCTCTCTCTCTCTCTCTCTCTCTCTCTCTCTCTCTCTCTCTCTCTCTCCATCGCCCGTTCGTTTGGTAGTCGAGCAATCGGCCATTCAACCATTCCGTCACGCTTTCAATATGACGGAAGGAATCTATTTTTGTTCGATTTAAAAGTGCATGCGAAATAAATTTCAATCGCAGGACGCATTACGAAACTTTGGCAATAAAAAAATTAAGCCAAACTTCAGTTGTTTTCCTTTTAGCAGCTGCAAGGCAAATCGAGATTGGAATGCTGATTGGGTAGAAAATGAATTGACAATTTGTCCGCCTTTGTCACTTAATTGACTAAATGCTTTTAGTGCACGACTTCAAATAGAGCTATATTGCATTCTTAATAGAGAGAAGGAATAAATAATTGTCCTCTGAGCAACTCAAAGCCAATTCAGCAATGCCCGCAGCATATCTGCGTATCAATATTGGAAATCATTTCTTGGACCACTTCCTAGTTTGCATGGAACATCTTCAGAAATATATAAACTCTACTTCTCATACTCAAAACAGGGAATGGAATTAAAACTTCTAAGATAGGGCTTTATATACTTGATATTTATATATTTTGTGAGCTGAATATTAAGTATACGTATTTATGAAAACATAAATGCACGACACTTGGCCATTTCGTGGAGTGGCTCGTTGGGGAGCACTTCAAAAATATGGCTTAAATGCTTTACCGATTCGCGCATCACGCCTCGGCAAACAATGCGAACAATAGTAATAAATAATTTATGAGTGCGCATTTGCCACATTAATCACGAGCCGACACTGAAGCATGAAGCTTGAAGCCTGAAGCCTGAAGCCAGAAGTCTGCCAATGGCAATGGGCGAGGCAGCGGCAGGGAACGAGCGATAGGTTAAATCCCTGGGTAAAAAGTTTGCCCGTTCCAAAGCCGACGCATATTAATTTCGGCACAACCTTTCCCTCTAACCGCGCCCATTCCAGCGAAAAAAGGCGCCAGCGGGTGGGGCCAGTGGGCGCTGGCATCGGCGAAGCGTACAAATTGCCATCACTTGCGTTCAATTTTAGACTTTTCCAAGCAAATGCACAGACGCGATTAAAACGCTGACGAATGGCGACATGAACGATGGGCGCCGGGTCGGTGAAGGCGCAAAATGTCAAGGACCAGTAACAGAGCGTCCGGGCAAGGACAACGCAGATTGAACGTCCGTTTACCCTGTTTGCAAACCTATTTGCATTTTGGGCGCCTACAACAACAGCCACAGCACCCAGAATGGGGAAAAAATGAAACGAGGAAAAACTCGAAGCTGGGCCAATTTTGGTGGCGTCGACAATTTCGGCGCTTTAAAGCTCGAATCGCTTACCGAGGCTGACGGCAGAATTTCGCGTATTTACCCATTTGCATATAACCGGAAATAGAGCTCTCGCGTGCATATGTGCGTGGGCGTGTGTGTGCGTGTGTATGCGCAAGTTGACCTTTTCATGAAATGCGCCTTAAGCTACAGTTGAATCACGCATGCATCGAGAGGCTCGCGACTTTTGAATTAAATATGATGGTTATCCTTTAAAGATCACAGAGGGGTTACTACTCCAGTATGGCTTTAATAAACATTATTAAAATTGCTTTTCTCTTTTTAAGAAATACAAATATATTATTTATTTTGACAACAAACTGTAGCTAAGCAGTGCAAATACCTCACTATTTAATGGTGCAGCCCAAAAGTATGCAACAATTTTTCAATTGCGAATATGCCTCTTTTATATATTTTGCTTCCGTTTAAAAGTATGCAATAGTTTTTCCCATTGGTAATCGAATTTCGTACATCCGCCTTTGCCAGCTCTTAGTTAATAGATTAGATAATTAATTAATTAAAACTCAATCGAAACACGTGATGAACATTTGCAGAATACTGAAATGCAAATATACGCTTGAGTTCAGCACATGTTTAAGTAAATCGGATTAAGTTTGTTTTATTATTTTCCAATTAATTGCATTGCAATCGAGTGTATTCAAGAACAAAAACAATCAACGAAGCAAAGTTTAAAGCGGGGGCATTAAAAGCAACAACAACAACAGCAGCAGCAGCAACAACAGAGTCGTATATGTATGTATATACGAGGACAAGTTCCATGCAAATGCTTGCATAAGGGCAACATATGGGTGTCGTTGGCATGGGGCGTGGCCTGAGAGACATACAAAATGAATATCAATGAACTGCGAGAACGACGCAAACAAAAACAAGAGCACAATAAAAATGAGGCAACAGCAGCAGTAAATAAAAACAGCAACAACAACAAAGAGCGAAATGCAAAATGTGACCCGGTATGAGTTGAGCTGGCTGGGTCGCGGGGTTGGTGGCATGTTTGTGAAAACTGGGCCAACGCTCGCAGCAGTTAAATAAATGATATCTCACTGCTTGTAAGAGTGCGCATGTGTGTGAGTATACTTCTGTGTATGTGTGTGTTGCTGCAGAACTCATTAACTGTTGGTAAATGAGCACGGAAAACAGATGTTCTATTTGATGAGATCGGCATTAGAAACAGAACTGCTTGATTACATGTAAGCAATTTGCCGAACTGTGGCCAACATCCTCGATAGTATAGTGGTTAGTATCCCCGCCTGTCACGCGGGAGACCGG